GCCGCGAGAAGGACATTGCCTTCTTCTCCACCGTGCGCTCGCAGCGCGGCAGCCGCGGCATCGGCTTTGTGGCCGACGAGCGGCGCATCAACGTGGGGCTGACGCGGGCCAGGTGGGACTGCTGGATGCGTGGGGCTGGATGCTGGATGCTCGGGGCTGGCCAGGGGCTTGGGCGGGATGGGGAGGCGGGGGTGGGGAGTCGCCGTGTGCTTTGCCACCCGCTGGCGGCGCGCCCCAGGGCCGCGCACTAATGCCACCCGCCCGCCCTCAGGGCCTCCCTCATTGTGGTGGGGCATGTGGAGTCGCTGCAATCCAACCCACGCTGGTCGGCGCTGGTGTCGCACGCGCGCAAGAGCAAGTGCATGTACAGGGCAGGTGGGGATGCCAGCCTGGCCGGTGGGCGCCTGCCCGCCGCTGGCTGGCGCGGCTGCTCCGGCCACCCTCCACCGCCCTCGCCCACGCTCCCTCCCCGCAACCCTCCCTCCCGCAGCCAAGCCCTTCTCTGGGTGGGTGTCCCAGCTGGCGGAGGGCCAGGTGCAGCCTGTGGCGCCAACGGCAGAGGACAACGAGGAGTGGGTGCCGCAGGTGGGGACCCGCCAGCCTGGGGCCGCACATTCAAGCAAGGCGCCGGGCCGCGCTGCCGCCTCTGGCCCCCACCAGCACCACTACCACACCAGCACCACCACACCCACCGCTGCCATCTGGCCCGCTCCGCCGCGCCGCCTCCCGCCCGCCCCACCCGCAGGCCGAGGCGCACGCCCACGACGCTTACGACTTCAGCGAGGAGGAGGGGGTGCCGCCCTTCCGGGAGCAGCTGTCGGCGGCAGCCAAGCGCAAGCACGCCCCCGACGGCACCAAGCAGCAGCCCGCCAAGCGCGGCCGGGTGCGGTAGGCGCAGCGGCGGCGGCATGGCAATGCGTCGTGGGCAGCGCCGCTGGGGGGGCGCGGCATCGCGGTGCGAGCGCGTCCTGTTCCAAGATTAGGTTTAGGTAGCTGCATTGCCATTATGTTAGACATCCCTGCACTCGCGAATCGGAAGACACCCTGCAATTGTTCTGCCCCGCCTGCAATCCAATGTAAACGATTGAAAATTGTTACAGAGCGGCAACCACCGCAGAGAGTACACCCAACGCAGCAAGAATGAAATGGTCAGCAATGGGAATCGAGCAAATAGGGTAAGCAAGATGCATGGGAGTGGGCTCAGAGCTTGGTCAAGCTGGATCGTTGGCGAGTGGCTGGAAGCCACCTGTCGTGTGCCTGCGCGGCTACCGCGCACGTCACCGTGCCCACATCGGCTCTGGCGGCCTGTCGTGCTGCCTGGTGCAGGCCCCGCAGGTGAGCTGGCAAGCCTTCTTCACATAGCCTGCAAGCGGCCATGCAAGCAAGGGCAGGCAGGGTTGCCGCCGCTGCCGTCGCGGTTGCCGCCGCTGCCCAAGAGGGCACCCTGCAAGCACCCCCGCCTCAGCGGCAGCACTCACTCGTCTCGCACATATTTGCCTCCTTGTAGTCTTTGCACACCACCTCGGGCAGCTCATCGTTGCAGGCGTGGGGAGCTCCCTCTTCCTTGTAGCCCGGAAATATGTCCGTTCTGTCCTCCTCAAGTACCGCGTGCGCGGAGCTCAACAGCGCAAGCAGCAACAGCAGCGCTACAGCATTCTTCATCGGGATAGAAGGCCAGAGAGCGAACACAGCTGCAGGGGGTGCACTCAATTGAAGAGCGGTGTGAGCCGGCGTCAATGGAGGGGAAGGGTGGCCTTCCTGCACAACAGTGACATGGCGCTCCCGCCTGCAGCGCCGCCGCCGCGTGGGCCCAACACGATACCATTCACACAGGAAGGTGACTGAATGCTACTGCAGGTTGCTTCACAGTGCACAGAAGACCATAACACATTGAAAACGCATGCTGCTGGGGTTATTTAGCGAACTGCTACTAACGGCGGGTTACTTCTCCACCAAACTGGTGGAGCGGCTGATGCACGATTCCATCGCGGGTGCACTCCTTGCCCTGCGCTCAGCGGTGGCCCGCATGCTGCTTCACAGCTTCGGCATGCGCCTTGGCGGCGGCGATCTCTGTCTCCGCCTGCGCGTCGGCCACGCCCCTCAGGCGCTCCGCTGCAGCCGCACGGAAGGCAGCAAGCGGCACGGCAGCATGAGTAACCTTGTGCGCCTGTATGAGTGTGTCACGGCCCCAGGCAAGGCAGGCAGGCAGACCCTCCCAGGCCGGCGCTCCAGGCTGGCTTTGCTTTGCTCGCCTGGGTCGTGCTGCCGCAGCGGCTCCATCATCAGATCTGGCCCGTCGCTCTCGGGCTGCAGGGCGTGCGGGGCCTCCCTGCACCCCAAGAAGCAGGCGCACCGCAGTAGGGTCAGGGCAGCAGCTTCGGCACACAGGCAGGGAAAAGCGGTCGCTTGGCGCACCACCAACCGGTTGGCGCCGCGCTGCTCACCTGGGCGGCTGCCCGGCCAGAGCTCCAGCTGGGAGGCGATCGGCCTCCCCTGCTCTGAGCTCCAGGGGGGTCTGCGGGGTGCAAGGGAGGTTTGTGTGCGTTGCATGGGCGCCAACTGGTGTCGAGTTTAGCACACCTGCTGCACACGCCCCGTGGGCTCTACCGGCACCGCACAAGGCGCTGCAGAACCATAAATGCATGCCTGCTTGCTGATAAAGGGACCGGCAGGGTCGCTAGGCTTCATTCGGACAAGTTCAGGCTGCGCCGCACTCGGAACCGAAGCCGGGAAGGCGCCGAGACGGTGCAATGGAGTATATGTCGTATGAGGAGATGCTGGGATTGGTGAAAACGCTCGGTGAAGGGAGACGAAGGCAGGGAGGCCATAGCTGACATGGCGACCGGTGCCAGCTTGGCCAGAAACCTTGGAACGGCAGCCTTGTCCTTCCGCATCCCTGCACAGCCATCATGCTGCCCGCTGGCGAGCCTGTCAGCAGCAAGTTGCAGGGTGAAGGAGAGCCCAGGGCAGTGCCGGAGGCACAGCCTGGGGAGGCGCCCACGCCCGAGCACAAGCAGGCCATTGCCGACCTCCATGAGCCGCCCGCCGACCTTCCCAAAGGTGGGCCCCTGCTGGGCAGCTACCTGGTCCACTGCCGCCAGCGGCTGGCGGCGCCTCCCGCCTCAACGCTGCGCTCGCAATGCATGCAGGTGGGCCGAGCAGCATGGGCGCCAACGTCGGCCCGCCAGGCACCAGAGTGCTGATCGCAGGCTATGCTGGCACCACAGCCGACAGCATCGCAGGCAGCGGCCGCGGTACCGGCGCCCGGCCCCTGGGAGGCAGCAAGACGGGCAGCGCCAGCTGAAAGGGAGCCTCCAGAAGGGGCGCGGCGAGTCCCAGCCTGCTGATCCCGGTTTCAGAGCCACGGTTGAAACTGTTACATCGGCGCCAGCTGGGGTGTGGCGAGTGGCGAGCTAGGTGGCGGTTTAAGGGACCCGCGGCTCTTGAGCAGCATGATAGTCCAGCAGAATGCGCTGAAGCGTATTGATAATCGGCAAGTAACAGCACAAGAGGTAGTACTACCGACAGCGTAGTGGGCTACTGCCGCGGGCCAGCGAGAGAAGAGATCAGTGGGTGTGGAGGCGCTGCTGCGCACGAGCGGGCGATGGAAGGGCGCTGCGGGGCGGCGAGGCGACAACAGATGCCTAGTCGGGCGGGCCGAGTGGGGCAATCAGCCAGGGGAGTCCCGCAAGCCTGCCTTCCCGTTTCAAAACTTGGGGAGCAGCGGAGACAGAGCGCAAGCAGAACAGAGGGCGCCAGCACGGCGGGGTGGGCACGGCGAGGGTTCAGGCTCGGCCTTGCCCCACGCCCACCGCGCTCAACAAGGGCGCAGGTGGTTTCACTTTCCACTAGGCACGAGGAATTGGAACAAAAGGGGCATACAGCACACGATGCGGGCTGCCAAATCTTGGGCGAGCGGGGCATACAGGGGTTGGCCAGAAAACAAAAAGGGGCAAGGGGATGAGGAGGGTGGGGTGGTGCACGGGCTGGGCGGGGGGTGA